TTGAGAAAATGCCACACTTGACACAAGACGAAAGGAATCAGGTTATCGGTATGGTCAGCCAAGGTGCTTCAGATGTGTTGATTGCCAGGCACTTTAATGTGCATCCATCCACTGTAAGTCGACTCAGACAACGTTTTCGGGCTACCGGAAGTGTTGCTGATCGTCCGCGACCTGGTGCACCACCTGTGATAACAGCTCGACAAAACCGCAATATCCGAGTTTCACACTTGCGAAATCGGTTCCAAACAGTTGATGATTAGGCAAGGAGGACAATTGGGACAAGTCAACGTCATTTCAGCGCCCAAAAGGTGCAAGGACGCCTTGCTGCCTTCAACATCCGGTGTCGTCACCCGTACCGTGGTCCAACCTTATTGCATCGCCACAGACTTGCCAGACAGCGATGGGCAGCAAATGGGGCCAATCTTGGCAACAGGACATGGCCAGATGTCATTTTTTCAGATGAATCCAGGTTTAACTTATCCTTTGCAGATAACGTCCACAGATTTATCGACGTAAAGGAGAAAGACTTGCGCCAAACTGTGTCCTTGAACATGATCGTTTTGGAGGGGGTGGTGTCATGATCAGACCACAGACCATCAGAGGCTGCAGACCATCCAACAGCTGTTCCTGAGTAATGTGTGTCTTTCAATGCCCCAAAGACTGCGAGCATGTCTTGCAGCGCACGGTGGATACACACGATATTGACTGCAAGTGACCCCTCCTTTGTGTGATGTCGTTGTTGCGTCACTGATGTTGTTGTTGACTGGACATTTTCAGATGAAATTATTCACAGATGTTCACTTAAAACATATCTGCCAGTTAGGTTTAACATATGTTGAAATTAGTGTGAGTAAAGAAAGTATGAATGTCAAATTGCATTTTTAATGGCTTTCAGTATATACTGAATGTCAAATCAATATCATGGCTAAAAGCAGAAATCTTACAGACCATTCAATTTTTGCTTGCTTTATCCACACTTCCAAAACAATCAACAAGTTTTAGAAATATTCCGCAAATTTATTCCAAAGACATAATTACTCATAACATATCAAACATTCTTTGCATTTCCCATATGCTAAACCTGCAAAAATACCGTAACAGTATGAACTGGAATATTTTCATGGTCACATATCTAAATTCTCACTGAATTACCTGAGAGTCCCAAGATGTCACAAGGAATTCCTTGCTGATGACAGGCATTTCCTGTTCAAGCAAGTGTCCAAAGGATGATGTGTAGGGCTTTAACCCTTATCCCACCAAGTGGATCATTTGAGGCCCGAAGTGCACGTTGATGGTAAGCCAAAACTTCATTTCTTTATATAAATGTTCAGTAGTCAATGTGTTCCTGAAAATTACAATACTGATTGCTGTGAAAAAGTTTCAATTTAAATTAATTTGAAATAATTACCATTAATTTTAAAAAGCAAATATTATTACATTCCAGTCAACGCCACTTGATAAAGCTTCCTTACGAATACATTGCATAGTAACTGCCAATTAAAGATGAATCGTCCAGCAAGTTTGAGAAGAGGAACACTTTTTATGAATAGACAAATTGTTTACTGCAGTAGATGCGACGTTTCTGTGTAGATCCAAACACCATTATCAAGCAAATGATACACAACATATGCACAAGGAGAAATATATACATGAAAGGTATTTGGGTTTATATGTACGAGTCTCCACATTTGCATTTGAATGTGGTAGACAACGCCTGAAGGGTCTTCTTTGTTGCTTGTAGCTGGTTTACTATTGGCTTGTAGGATATGCTGAATTGATGTTCCTTTCTGGAACACAACATCTATGTTGGCTTGCTTCTTTAGTAATCTGCGGATATGGTGGCTGGTTGTATCGACAACGGGGATAATTGCTGACGTGGTGGTTTGGGTTGAGGGTGGTCTTGATGGTTCTGTTGACTAGATTAGCTGGGCACTGATTAAGGTTTATGAAGACATGGCGAAGGTGTTCTAACTCGACTTCAAGGCCTTGGGTTGTGGAGCCGATGTTCTTTGTTCTTCTGGCTAGGGTGGCGATTATACATCTCTTGACTTGCAGTGGGTGATTAGATGAGAAGTGAAGATATTGGTCTGTGCGGGTTGGTTTCCTGTAGACACTTGTTTGGAGTTTGTTGTTGTCTTTTCGACTTGGACGTCGAATTTCATGCGTGGATTTTGGGCATTAAGGTGTTTGAGAAGGCAGATGGGATCATCGGTGGGGTTGATTATGACAAAAGTGTCGTCATCTTTCCGGAACCAGCATATTGGTGTGACGGGTAAGGTGAGGAGGGCCTTGTCATGTAGATCTCGGTGATGATGGAGGAGAGAGGTGATCCCATAGGTTGACCATGGGTTTGTTGGTAGATTTTATCAGACCGGGTGAAGTATGTTGAACCTATACAGGAATGGAGGAGGCGGATGATGCTTTCTACTGTGAGATGGGTGTTTAGGTTTAGCGCGGATGTCTTCAACTTTTCTTCTAATGATGGCTAGGGGCTTCGTCTCTTGGTACATTGGTGAATAGATCAACCACATGATAACTCATTATTTTGCCTGGCTGGGTGATGGTGCTGATCTTGTTGCAGAATTCGTTGGAGTCTGAGATAAAGGATTTAGTTAATTTACCTAGAGGGCGAGAAGGCGGGCGAGATGCTTGGTGGTATTGTAATGAACTGTGTTTCTGGAACAGACAGGAGACGGACTCTGATGCGGTCTTTGTGGACCTTGATGGTGGCTCGGGCGTAGGGTGGTCTAGGATGGGGAACTGTGAGCTGCTTCTGAAGAGTCGGACCTAAGTTCTTACAGGAGGGTTTTGTGGTCTCGTTGAAGCAAGGTGGTGGGGTCTTTCGGTGTCATCTACTTTCCGGAAAAAGCATATTGGTGGGACGTGTGAGGTGAGGAGGGCCTTGCCTTCGAGTTCTGTCATGTAGATCTCGCTGATGATGGGGGAGAGATGTGATCCCATAGGTAGGCCATGGGATAAGAGAACTCTTAGAGGCAATCAACATCAAACGGCTCAACACGACAATCAACAGAGGTCAACGTTATTACATCCCTACAGCTTACGATCAAATAATAAAGAATAGCCAACCAACCAACCCTTTGGCTTCAGTCATTTCTTATCGCAACAAGTCTCATGTCAACACACATCAACCTCTTCTATTGTATAAACCCAAATACCTGTCATGTATATATTTCTCCTTGTGCAGATGCTGTGTATCATTTGCTAGATAACGGTGTTAGGATCTACACCGAAACGTCGCATCCACTGCAATATAGAAGTTGTCTATCCATAAAAAGTGTTCCTCTTCATCATCACACCAGCTTCTAAATGCCACTTAAGGAAGTTTGAGAAGCAATTTTCGCGATGTTTTGCTCCAACCTGCTGCTGCAGATGATGATGGTAGTGGTGCTGATGCAGTTCCTTCTGACAGTGGTTTAGATTCTGAGTTCAAACCTCACTTTGAAGAAAGTGTTAGAGACAGCAGTGACTGTTTCTAATAGTGAAGAAGAACGTAATATCCTGTCAGGTCCTTTGATTTAAATCAAAAGGGGGTGACCGGGCCTCACGTGTTGTATGCCACAAATTGCAACGTTGCAATTTGTTGTATAAAATTTGTGGATTGCAACGAGTTTCAAATTGTGAACTCCCGAGTTGAAAGCTTGGTGGGATAAGGGTTAATATGTTTTATAACTGTACATAAAACACTTCAATGACTTGCTGTTTGAACACCAGATGTTAAAAGAAATCTGAAGATCTGTTTCAGTTTGTGTTGCTCTTGATGTCATTGGTAATTGTGGTGATCTATTCCTCCTTTTTTTTCTCCTCTTAAAGATGTGCATCTGTTGCAACTGAAAAAAATAAATAACGCATGTGAGACCAAGTATGATATACTTAAGGAAATGTAAACAGTTCCTTACAGTGTTGACATCAATATATTATTGATAAATTAAGCATGTGGAAGTTATGTTTACCTGAACATGCTGCACCATAAACAAATGCTACATGGGTTTGTAATAATCAAGCTCATATTACAGAATACATTTGTGAGAAACACCTATTCAGAGCTATTGGTACCAATCAAAGTGTGGATATAATCATCATTGTTTACACGCTATTAAATAATTATTTAATTAATTACATTTATATTTAAGAATTACACCTGGAATTGCATTGCACATAAAGTTATCTCCTGGATAATTCCAACTGCAAGATACTTTATTTATTTACAAAGTTCCCGATAAAATGTTTTATGCAATAACTTTACAAATATTGACCAAATATTTGAAAATATTTTTGTGAGATTACAAAATATCTTTTACATTGTTATGGATAAACTTAACTGATATTTGCCATGATGAATTACGTAAGTTATAATAAATGCAACAACTGCAAAATCCAACTGTGGTGAGTTAATTTTTATCGTCACATTGGCAATATTTCAGCTATATCGTGACGAGAACAATTTATAATTATAGATCAATACAAATAGAAATTAAAAGTCTGTTGTCAAAGAACAGTTAAACTGCTAGTTTATCACATGTATTAAAGTAAAATTAGCACGCTATCATGAAACGATATTATTAAATAGAACAATACAATATAAAAATGGGGTATAGGTTGCCAACAACTGAAGGTAGATGGGGACGGGAACTTACAGTACTTTTGCTACCTGCATGGACCCTATCTGGATTTACATCATCCCCTCAGCTGTTGACAGTTTAGACATTAATTTAAACGAACACATATACTATGATTAAAATGTGGTGAGATTAAACCTTCTTTGAAAGATATGGTCCTACATACCCTCTCAGGGGACAATAAAATGCCTAAGCACAAAGATCGTGACATCTCTCAACCTGGACCGATTGTTTCACAACAGCCTAAGCTCAAGGATCGTGACATCTCTCAACTGGGGCCATTGTTCCACAACAGACTCCGCACACACCTCTTGACATCTCCCAGCCTGCTCCACATCTGATCTTTCCTTCATAAATCTGGCGTCATCTAGATCTTTGTGACCATGCACATCAAAGGAAAAGTTGCCATAATTACCGGCGGTGCAGGTGCTCTTGGACAAGCAATGGCCAGAGCTTTGTTGGAGAAAGAAGCCAAGGTAACGCAAGAATAATCAGTCTGAGGTCATGTTACTGTTTTTCATCCTATGTTCAAACGAACAGTTTGCAGTTCCGTGGCCTCATTCAGTGGCGTCCCCTCAGCTGGGGTCGTTAGTGTTTTGTATCGTATTTGCATTTCCCCTTAGGGAAGAGCTGTTTGACCAATGAGTGTTACTCATATGACACAGACAATATTAAGTTATAGAACTTGTGTTGTATAAAGCGTTGACGTTATTGAACATAAGCGAACGTTCGACTTTGTTGGGCCAGTTAAAGCAGCCTTATGTTACAACAATGATGTCAGCGTAACATGGCCTTATGGCTTAAAGAGACACTGATCTTGTGCTATTCCTGGGACTGGTTAATGCTTTTGTTACTTTTTTTCCTCCGCGAGTACCCGGATGATATCCCAGAATACGTGACTGGGTTGTGATCATCTTTGTCAGCAAAGATGAAACACCAATTACAATTTCCATCTTGATTATTGTGATGTATCAGTGTTTAAATACAAACATACCACTTTAATATAATCATTTAACAAACTTTCACACCTTTAAAATGAAACGTTACCTCAAAAGATGAATCAAGGTTGAAGTCGGACATGAAAATCCGCCCATGCTAGTCGTAAGACGCGACCAACGAAGATTGGGTGGTCAGGCTCACAGGCTTGGTTGAAACATCTCATCTGATTCCAAATGCGTAGATCGGATGCTCATGATGTTGATCACTGGATTGGGTGATCCGTACGCGATTATTACAGACTGCTATATATAGCTGTATTATTGCTAAGTGTGGCGTTAAAAAGAAAAGAAAAAAGAAGACCCTGAATTAACATCGATTTGTCAAGAAAATATTAATACCAATTCGATGCTTCTTAGATAAAGTATATTGTATATTATACACCTAAATCTACGTAGATGATAATTTATTTTATGCTGTGGCAATAATACACTCAGGACAAAGTACACAAACATCAAGCTTATACCTTTGCGCGGCAGTTTCAGATAAAGAGGAGTCGGTATTATCACTGCATCGTCTGTGTCGATGAATATAATGATAGGAGTTTTATGTCATGATTTGATTTCAATAAATGTCAAAGGGGATGTTTTTATAAACACTAGCCAAGAGCCTCGCTTGTGTCTTTAAGTCATATTTCGAGAAAACTGTGTGGCTCTTCCCCACAAAACATCGATATGTGTGTTTTATGTCTCAACAAATGAGACAGTATTAAAGGAGTAACTAACTCATTAGTAGGGTAGAAAAAAGCAAGGGTAGTTAATATTTTTCCAGTGTAGCTGTCGAAGAATTAAGCTACCGTTTTTACCGGGTTGAGAGATTCTTAAACAGAGAGCAATGGCAGTTAATGGCATGTATCTTTTGTACCATGTACATCACTAAGCAGGTCTGGACTTTCCCCTCACTCCTCACTAAATTCTGACGCCACCATCAAAATACAAAATATCTCTGATTTCCTAGCCGCTGTTGAAATCTGAATCTTGATGTGATACAAAATACTTTAACCCTTTTCACACTCCTAAAAAACAAGGTACTTTATATAAACAAAATGTTTCTCAAGTAAAGGTGTGTTAAGGCTGTTGCTTGTTTGTGCAAGAATAAGAAAACAGAATAATAATAATAATAGATATGTAGTTGAAACAGCTGGATGACAGTCCTTTTGTTGTCCATTTAAAGACCAGTGCCAGACAAATCACCATTAGTACCACTTGTTGACGTTTTCGCATCATCAATCTCCGTCTCTCCAGGCAGAAAAACTTATGCAGACCAAAATGTTAATTCTTTAACATCATGTTATATTCTCGATATATCATTTGTTTAACACAGGTGTGTATCTTTGACATCCATGCTGACAGAGGTGCTGAGATAGAGTCTTCACTACAGAGTCAGTTCGGAGGAGACAAAGTGTCTTTCTCGCTGTGCGATGTAACTGACGAAAAGGGTTTTAAAGGTATGGATCGAAATGACCTTACCTCTACACATAATTCGCCTAAGTAAAGAGTAAGATTAATGTGCAGTGAAATATTTCTATGAATGGTTCAGCTAAACCATACATTTTCATAAATTATGGAATCAGCAAGAATGGAGCTCAAGGGGTCGGGGATCTTCACATTTGGGAACGGATACAGATTTGTTGGGTCGTTGGTTCTGAAGATTGTAGTTGTCTCATTATCATGACATATGGCATTGCCGTACACGTTAGTCGATCCGATGGTTTCTTTCCAACATTATGTTTGTTTATTTTAATGAAAACATTTTATGTAAAGGATGATGTGATTTTCAGAACGAGTAAGTCCTAAAACACGATTGTAAGAATTTGTATTGGAACTTGATATTTGCGTGTGCCGACTCGTCACCAAACCACATGTCCCACATTATCCTCAAGGTGTACATTTAATGTCATAGATGACGTTTCTGGTTTGACATTAAAGAGTCTTGAAGAGCAGTTTTTGTTCTCTGTGCTGCAACAGTAGTGTTCGATGAGTTTTACTGTCTTCACAAACAATAATAATGAACCCTTCTCAATACATGTTCTTCCTTGTTTCTAAGAGACCTTCGACGGCGTCGCGACACGTTATGGACAGGTGGACATCATGATCAATAATGCAGCCGTCATCAACGAGAAGATAGACATTGACAAGATGCTGATGGTTAACCTGGTGAGAGAACACAGCTGATTCAATATTGTTATGAGAGTGTGTGTGTGTGTGTGTGTGTGTGTGTGTGTGTGTATTTAATTTGTAATATCACATTGATTAAGTGATAGTCATTATGGGTCACAATGTTTAAAGTTTTGAGCGTGGGTTTTGGCTGCATTATCTCGCATCATATATGTTTTGAGTGGCAATAGTATTTGTAGCGTGCACGCCTTTTGATAGCTTCCCCAGAGTTGCCTCCCTTGGCTGGGTTTATTTGGTTTTGAATTCCGGGTCTTGTCACGTCGTGTGTTTTCCACGCGGTTCCATGGCGTTCTGAGAGAATAATGATGGAGCCTAGCTTTGCTAGAATGCTCGAGAACTGTGTAAGAGCTACATAAAGGCTGGTTGTAGAGTAGTGCACTACAGGACTATTCACATGACTGGATTTATACACATCTGTCTGCCATCGTCGAGTTTCTCAACATTTCAAGACTGACCGTGCTTGCCTGCTGTCATTGTAAACAACCTTCAATCAGTATATCTGTTCTCACTGTAAATTTCAAGACTGGCGAGTTTATATCTTATATATGTGATTCCAATATTAAGAGGTGAGTGAGTTAAAAGTTAACGTCACGCATCGGCAATATTGCAACCATATCGTGACGAGAACAGTTGATATCAATAGGCAAATCAATAAATGTACAACGTAAAACCCTGTCATCGAAGGACAGTAAAACAACTAGAATATCACAGATATACATGTAAAACTAGTAATGAAATCTAAAACATTCTAACTATAGGGAACAACACAATATAAAAATAGGCTATAAATCGCCAACAACTGAAGGTAGATCACCATGCCAGGGACCATGTGGACTTACAATATTTAGATTTGTGTCTCAATTGCACTGTCACTAGAAATCTGTATTGTCATTCATTGTAGCTTGCTTCATTGTTTGTTCAATATACTATTGAATGTCTGAATATTATTGACTTGTCTGTGTTCTATTTTGCTGGTTCATTACACGGGATTCTTAAACCATTTGTCAGTGGCAAATTATTAACCATAACAAAATGACCTGTCGATGATGGTCAAAGAGGTGTATTTGTTTCTTTGTCCAATATTCCAGCTCATGACAGCGGTCTGAAAATAATGAAAATATGTCATTAGACCACAAATGTATCAGTCAGGCCAGCAAGCCGATCACCAGTTCTATCCAACATGTTCACGGCTGAAGTAGTGCTGTAGAGCAGATAGCTTCTATCAGTCGTCATCAAGATGTGTTCAAGACTGGTTACTGCAAAAACAACTCATCAGTTGAACATCAGTTCCTGAAAGTCCCGAGGATCAGTTGTGTTATCAAATGTTTGAGAAAAGAAAACAGCCACCAATATAGTCACGGCAATCTCCTGAATTGAAATGGGGTTGCTGAAACTAAATCGCTCAGTTTCAAGAGAAATGTCACATTGAAAGCCTGCATGATCACCCCCTGGTACCAGACACACAAACACTCAGTCGTCTGATGATGTGAGATATTGTCAGTATTCTTTTAGTCGCCGATATGGTCACTATCCAACTCCCATAACATCTAGGGTAGCGTGAAGCTGACAACAAAGCACTGACGTTGTTGGCTTCAAAGAAGTCCTTCACAATTATACCTGCATGGGGTCCTCTCCTCGTCATGTTGATAAAGGACACCATGTGAGTGGCTATTGAAGTTGGAAGAAGCATATCATACATGTCCTTCTATTAACGATAACCAGTTGTGTTCTCCTGCCCACAAATTCCTCCTACACGATAACGCCCTTCCACCATATGGCATGGCATCTTGAATGACGTTCCGTCTCCCTTCGACAGTGAACACGCTGTTTCCATCAACTTGTCTGAACAGACAAAACCATTTTTCACCAGACCCTCTGCCTGTTCCATCTCTACCAATGACGTACACTAAACATCTCAATTCTGGCGGTGGTGTTCGATTCTTTTGTGAGATCTGTGAATCTAAAAAATATGTTCATGTCAGTGTACGCAAAGAATAAGGAGTGAAACATTGATGTGTCGAATACCCATTCAGAGTCCAACAATATGGTTGTGTGATGTATAATAACATCAACTTTCAACGGACCCACACAAAGACGTCGGAAGAGTGTAACGAATATTTAACATATTGGGATACCTCTGTGTATATACAGTTGTGATAACTTCAATATGCTTCATAAGAGAACAATTCCCAGGGACGTCAGTTCTGTCCTCACACTGTGGCAGAAAGTGAGTTTCGTTATGATTATATATGTGCGTTACGGATTAGTGTGAAAATGTTCAGGGTGATTTGAAATGTAACACACACAACACATCTATAGAACTTGCAAATGATGTGAACAGCAGTTTGAAATTTATTGCACGTGTAAATTGGCAGTGTGACTATTATCATATATCAAATACAACATGCGCATGTTACAGTCTCTTGTTATGAATTTATAGAAAGTACATCTCATTTATTATTCACTCTTCAAAAGGAGAAACGGATAAGCCATTTATAGGCGGTATTGCGTTAGTTTCAGAGCAATTGTTTCAAGTTTATAGACAAGGAGTTCGCCATCACCACAGCAGCCTTTATTCTGGTGTTTCTGTTTACTTGAGTTCAGAAGATGGACAAGTCAGTAATTTGTATGGCCACCAATTGGCAACAATTACTATTTGGCACCGTCTCGCAGCAGACTGGATAAGTCAAAGAAGTCGCTCCCACGGAGTTCTTCACCACTCTTCCTGCAATGCGATGGCTACATGTGGATGTGTCTGAGGCGTGTTTTGACGTTGACCTACACGTCTATCGAGTTCATTCCATAGGTGTTCGATCTGGTGATCGGGAAGGCCATGGCAAGACACTGACGTTAGAATTGGCAAGGTAGCAGACTGTGAGGAGTGCTGTATGTAAAGGAGCGTTGTCATGCTGGAACAACTCCCTCTGTAGGTCCATAATCGGAAACATGTGACGTTGATGCACCGATTTGCTGTCAAATTACCCTGACCCTCCACCATATCAGATCTTTGTGTGCTGGATATCGCACCCAACACCCACCATGACACAGTCTCAGCCGAAAGTGTTATATTTTTGCAATTAGGGGCAAAACGTTTCATTTCTCCGATCCCAACGGTAAACACACTGTCTTCCATCTCGCCGAAGTGAAGACGAAATGGTGATTCATCACTAAGTCCAGTCTCGTCTCCAGTTTCTAAGCTTCCAGTCCCAGACTCTACGGCCCCATTGCAAACAGTTGCGCTGATGGACGTCTCTCAAAACAAAGGGCGACAACTTGGTCGAATCCACACTTCACATTCGATTCCTGACATTTTAGGTCTGAAATTCGTCACAGTTCAGTTTGGATGTAGCGTTCCTGGGCTTGGGTGGTACCTCTTGGATAATGGCCTTCTCCGGGCGACGTTGGATGGAATGGATATGCCGGAAGCAATCCCAAAGGCAACATAATGTGCTCTGATGAACGTTGAAATGTCGGGTTGAACTGCAGACTGCGACTCCCAAGCTTCAAGGCGGACTATGGCCATGTTTCGATTGGCGGCTCTGTCGTAACATGATGATTTCACTCTTAAAATCTAAACACAACGTTTGTCTTTTCATGATGTATTTACGGCATTAAACTTATATTTCCGCGTGTTTGGTTTATGTTTTCTTGGTGACATTTTTGGCGAATATTCATCCAAACGCTACAAAACAAGGAAATTTTGAAATTGCGCGTTTGACTACGCTGAAGCTGTTTATACAACACAAAGATGACGTTTTTGGAAAGAAATGGGTATATTGTATTGTACAGCAACAGGAGTCGAATATTCTCAAAATCACTTTTGAAGTGGTAACCAGCATTACATCAAACTCATCTATTGTATAAACTCACTCTGTATGTGTATTTCAATCAATATCACTCTGTACATCAACCTACTCTCACTCAAATCATTAATTAGCAATCCAAATTACATCCACCCTGTCAATTGTATATACTCACTATGCCGCTGTGTATATATTCTCCTTGTTTTCAACTCTTTGTATCACCTTTAAAACTTCTAAAATGCCTCCCAAAGACGTTAACAGTAGAAAAGTTGACCTGCATGTTATTAAAACGGTTGTATGTAAGTAATTTACTGTGAAGAGAAATGTAGATGCAAATACAACTGTAGAAAAAGAGCTACATACATTTTCATTAAGCACATAAAACTGTCCCTGTCTTCGCAGGGTGGCACCATCGAGGTTCGAACCTCGCCATCAAACATATGAGGAAGGATGAAGGTGGGGGAAGGTGGTGTGAGGGTCGTCAACGTCTCCTCCATTACAGGTAGGAGATGTTGCCTCCGTGATCGAGATAAATATAGAGTACCAGTTAAAGACTGATAAAGAACCACCATACTTGTATAAATACCGCTCTTGTTCTCTTTATCATATGATTTAAACCAGCCTTTTGGGCCAAAGAAGAAACTGAAGGCGTATTGGACCTTTGTTGAAGGGTGGAGAATTTGCTGTATTAACAATCAAAATATCCAAAACTTTAGACTTGGCATGAGTTCAAAAGGTATATTTCAAAACTAATTCTGAAACGTCATTACATGTTATTCTTTTAAACTTAAAAAAGGTATTCGCAATAATACATACACATCCTTGTTCCTTCAGTTTTCGAATTACATAAGAAACGTTTCACGTAAAGGTCAGGTGTATGAAGGAATATAGAAGCGAAGTGAATTATTCTGTGTGGCCATGACACAAATTACCAAGCACATACTA